TTCCAACAGGTTTGCGTGTTGTCAGGTTAGCCCAAGCCTCGTATTGAATTATGTATTTTAAGGGGCAAATGTACAAGGCGCTGTGTATTACGTTGTCATGCTGTAGTAGTATGGTGTATTGTTTTGTAACATATAAGATATACGGTTTTGCTGAAAATGCATATTACGAAAACAGAGCACATTGTAAAGGGGACATAATCAGTGCATGTGCTGGCAACATGTGACCCTAATCCCATAACATGTATAGCGACCGGTGTACACGTAAACACTTTTAAGGGAAACGGAACACGCTATGGCGGGGTTTAGGCGGTTCGTGTGCCCGACACGTGTGACCTGAGAATGGCCTCGGAGTGACTTTTGGGTCAGTTTATCTGACCCGTGCCTAACATTTCCCGCCAAAATTTGACCCGTACGTGTCCCGCAACTGACCTGTTTCTGCCTCGAAAGTCACTTCTGGGTTGGCCTCTCTAACCTGAATGCGACCTAAAGGGTCAGTTCCAAAAGTAACTCTTGGGACAGTTTCCCAGATGTCCCGAATGTTGCCCGGAAGTAACTTGAGGGTCCCTTTTGGCTCAGTACAATTTAGAGATGCTGCTGCATTGGCACGCATTGACCTCGGAGGCGCAACGCGGCGCATGGCGCGTTGGAGATGGTTCCGCGAGCCACACAAAACGGCTACGGAAATTCGGACCTAAGGCGACTTTATGGCGGTGACGTGTTGAAGAAGCAAACGAAATACCTAAGAAGCTCCTAAGTTGCTTGGCGTGTGAGCTACATAAGGAGAAGCTACGGGGTTGGAGTGAAATGGCATCCGAAAATTGAAGGGCCCCGAAGAGTTACTTCCAAACAAGTTAGTTTGGCGAGGTAACTTCTGCGGGGCATTTGGTTGTGGTGCTGCTCCGAAACCGAACCGAAACGGGGGATGCAGGTTCGAATTTGGTCTGGGCGCAGTGGTTTTGGCTTGGCAGCAATCTGGTTGCTGAAGAATTGTCGCGCGCGTCGCTTTTTGCACTGAAACCTCTTTTCTCTGACAACTCGGGTGGCAGTATCTGGCGCGACACTGTTGGGAACTCCCTTCTGGCTCCATACTCAATGTTCCGATATGTGGAGGTGAAATTTGACAAAGGCATATTGGATACATTGTGATTACAATTAGGAGTAAAAACAGAACGTGTTTTTGTGTTTTGTGACTTCATGCAAAGTATGTTTGGAATGTTTGTTTCAGATGTATTTTAAGCCACCATACGCATTTGAAAAAAAAAAAGGCACTGCGCAATCGGACAGTCCAATCCCTGCACAATTTTCCCTGCTCAGTCGTTTATAACGACATACATTTCTACCAGATGCGGCGAATGCCACCAAAGTTGTACTGCACGCTTGAAATATAGTAAATGTAGAGAAATATCAAAAGAAACCTTGTAAAAAAGGTCAAAGAGATGTTGGAATGACACTACATGTCGCACAGGCTTATCACTGCACAGTTTTCCCTGCTCAAATGTTCAAATGTTTTTTGCATTAATTCTTCACACATTCAGGTACTACATCCTATTACCTTCCCATAGAAACTGGTTTGACCTCGTTCGCACAACTACGCAGCACGTGACGCTTGTTTGTGCATATGCTGGCCTGAATCTGTGCAACGATAGGTCTGTGCGCAACATGTCACTGCGCCAACGTCTAAATGCCTTTTCTACCACTAATTCTTCACACAGTTCTCTGCTACATCCTAATACCTAGCCATAGGAACTGATTTCATCTCGTTAGCACAACTACGCAGCATGGACGCATGTTTGTGCGTTTGCTGGCATGAATCTGTGCGATGATAGGCGTGTGCGCAACAGGTCACTGCGCCAACATCTGACTGCCTTTTTTACCACTATTTCTTCACACACTTCTCTACTAAATCCTAATCCCTAGCCATAGGAATAGATTTCATATCATTAGCACATTTACACAGCTCGTGGCGCATGTTTGTGCGTTTGCTGGCTTGAATCTGTGGGAGGATAGGCCATTGCGCAACTTATCACCGTTTGAACGCTTGGATGTCAATTTTAGCACATGTTCTTCACACATTCAGGTAGTGGATCCTATTACCTTCCCATAGGAACTGGTTTGACCCCGTTTGCCCAAACACGCAGCGCGTGGCGCTTGTTTGTGCATTTGCTGCTCAGAATCTGTGCAAGGATAGGCTTGTGTGCAACATGTCACTATTTCAACGTTTGGATGTTGTTTTTAGCACTTTTTCTTCACACATTCAGTTAGGAAATGCTATTACCTTGCCATAGGAACTGGTTTGACCTCGTTAGCCCAACTACGCAGCACGTGGCGCTTGTTTGTACGTTTGCTGCTCAGAATCTGTGCAAGGATAGGTCTGTGTGCAACATGTCACTGTTGCAACGTTTGGATGTTGTTTTTAGCACTTTTTCTTCACACATTCAAGTAGGAAATGCTATTAGCTTGCCATAGGAAGCTGGTTGACCTCGTTCGCCCAACTACGCAGCACGTGGCGCTTGTTTGTGCGTTTGCTGGTCTAAATATGTGCAAGAATAGGCCTGTGTGCAACATGTCACTGTTTCGACGTTTGGACGTTTTTTTTAGCACTATTACCTCACAAATTCAGTTTCTACATGCTATTACCTTGCCATAGAAACTGGTTTGACCTACGCAGCACGTGACTCTTGTTTGTGCGTTTGCTGGCCTGAAACGGCACGACGTCTATCACAGGCCCATCATTGCACAGTTTTCCATGCTCAATTGTTCAATACGGCATATCTTCTTCCCCGATGCTGCGAACGACACCAAGCTTGTCTTGCATGCATGTAGTAGTAGTAGTAGTAGTAGTAGTAGTAGTAGTAGTAGTAGTAGTAGTAGTAGTAGTAGTAGTAGTAGTAGTAGTAGTAGTAGTAGTAGTACTAGTAGTAGTAGTAGTAGTAGTAGTAGTAGTAGTAGTAGTACTAGTAGTAGTAGTAGTAGTAGTAGTAGTAGTAGTAGTAGTAGTAGTAGTAGTAGTAGTAGTAGTAATAGTAGTAGTAGTACTAGAAGAAGAAGAAGTAGTAGTAGTAGTAGTAGTAGTAGTAGTAGTAGTAGTAGTAGTACGAGTAGTAGTGGTAGTCGTAGTAGTAGTAGTAGTAGTAGTAGTAGTAGTAGTAGTAGTAGTAGTAGTAGTAGTAGTAGTAGTAGTAGTAGTAGTAGTAGTAGTAGTAGTAGTGGAATCTACTGTGTGGGAATAAAATGCACAGATAAAATGATACTTCTAATATGAGCTGTCGTTGTTTTTGATTATTCAAGAGCTCCATAAATCGTATAAAACATTTGCTAAAAGGACTTTAATGAATTAATTGAGTGACATGATACACCAACATTCCATTCTAGGGCATGTTTGTCTAGTGTACATCTCATAACGCTTGGACGACAGATGCCCTTGGTTTGTCACCACAATTCTGACTTATCGACGGTTGTCCGGGCTCAGCGCGTTGACAGAATGTGACTCATAATTTCCCGCCAATCAAAACCACGCCCCAGAGCAGGTGATCCAACCTAACTTGATCTGTGAACCGTTGATCTCACACCAAAATCACTCAACTGCCAAATCTTGACCATCAAACTTCACAGCCAAACCGACCGAACAACCGTCTCTCTCACCTCGATTTTCCCACCCCCTCCTTGGTGAGCATCTCTCTCACCACTCACACGAGTATATCTGAGTGCGTTTCGTTTCTTAGCTTCAAAATTTTCAGTCCACTCGTTTCTCCTGTTCGCCATTTCCGTCATTAGTATCCACCCGGCCACGGAATCGTCCCGGTCTCGTCGATCCGCCACGCGCCAGTCGTAACGGCGTTTGTTGTCGCGCTGCTAGTAACATCGCAGTTTCCCGCGCGTTTAGTCTTCGACGTTTCTCCTGTGCCTTGCTACTTACGTTTTTTTGCTTGCAGAGGGTTCGATCGTCCGATCTCTCGCTCACATGAGGAACTCCGCCGCCGCGTGCCGAAATTGAGGTGTAGCGGCGCTTGATGCCGAGCTGCCTCTAAGCGTGACGTTCCCCTTCCAGACCCTCCCTGAGATGTCGTGCTCGAAGTTGCATTCGCTTGGCGTGACTGTTTTTTTTCCTGCGTCCCAGATTTCCCTCATTCCTTCTCTGTTCCTTCTAATTCCCGTTTTTCTCTCCACTTTCCCCACGTCCCTGTTTTTCCCCTTTTCCTGTTTCCCAATCCCCTCTCATTCCTACTCGTGCTCGCAGAGATCTCTGGCGTGGCGCCGTCGCTCCAGTGCACCTCGCGCCGCTCGCTTGCTCCAGTGCAACTCGCGCGTGTGCAGCGCGACGAGTGGCTTCAGCAGCGGCAGTCGCTAGTGGCGGCGGACGAGCTGGGACGCTTTTTTCTTGTTCTGGTGGCGCCAGGTCGTATATGCGGGTACTGGTGCATTTAGGCTGGTTGGTTACTTCCACACGCAAGAGCTATTTTGATGCATGTGATCCGCTACATCATTTATCATAAGTTTCTAACTACGCTTATGTTATGGTCTTTTTTTTCTTTTTTTTTTGAATTGGAGTATACATTAAAGAGGACAATGCATACAGCAATAGCAGTCGTAACTGAGCGTGAGGGCAGGCACCTTGCGCTGCCCAGCGAGACAACTAGGGCGGTTGGAGAGCCCTCTTAGGTCTGTTCCAGATGGCCGCAAAGCTGTCCGACCAGCTCCACTTCCTGTCTCCGACTTTCCTGATCCTCATCAGCATCTTTTGTTCTGCTTCAAAAACCCCCCTAACCTTTTTGAGTTTCCCCAGCTTGCCCGGCCTCACAACTTTCGCCCCAGTCACTCTCGTGTACACCCTTACGTGCAGCCGGAAAGCCGTCCCGATTCTCCTGAGCACCCGCCGGGCTCTGAATTTTTGCCCACGGAAGCTCGCCTCGCAGCGTTCCACCCACAACTGGTGGAAGGTGATGGCCGTTAGTGTAGCCTCTGGGAAGTCTGACGTGGTACCAATTTCCTGGAACAGTAGATCACCGAGCGAGGCAGATGTCCTTGTGGGGTTGAGCATGCGCAGAGCGCGCCGGAGACCAGATACCACAGGCTGAATCACCGGGCAGCTAAAAAGGCAGTGATCATGTGTCTCAACCTCTCCACAGTACGGGCACTTCGGCTTACTGCTGAGAAAATCCACCCTCTCCCCAACCTGAAGGTTGTGGTTGTGTATACGCGTAAGGACATCACGCGGTCGGTTCGGGATGGCAAGCGAGTTTCTGGTGTGGACAATTCGGTCCCAGTCTATCTTGCCGCTCCACTTGCCGACCCACTTCTCCTGCTTCGTGGAGACCGCGTCTGGCACAGCCCACGATTCCCTCAGCTGCTTCAGGGATGACAGCTGCCCGTTCGTGAAAATCCCCGAACGAAAAATTGTAGCCGCTGCATGTTCGCCACCGCCGCTGTTCCCAGACGATTTTTTCACCCCAGATCCAGCCCCCTTTCCACTGGCATCCGGGATGAGCACTTCCTTCCATTCCTGCGGGGCTGCATCAAGTGCTTTGAGAGCCAGCCGGGCTGAGTCCCTGCTACGCAGCTCCCGCTCAAGCGTATCCATGTCCTTAATCTCCACCGTACCGTCCTGACGCGTGGTTACCAGGTCACCCAGCCTCGTCCCCCAGAGGCCCTTAGCCTCCTTTTGTCCACCCACTGGGTTCGTGCAGTTCAGAAGCAGCTTCCGGTTAAAAACCACCATTTCTTGCACCACCTCCTCTTTGCTGTCTGACTTCCCAGTGTCCGCCATCGGGGATTTCATGAAAGTCTCGCATGTCTGTAACCAGCGCTCGTTTTCTCCCGGCCAGTGCTTCAGCAACCGTTCATGAGCCAGGAACGTGTCCTCTCCGAGCGGTAATCCCGCCGCCTTGAGCGTGATTTCCTTTTTTTTTCCGGTTCTTCTCCAGCAGCAAGCAGCCAATCCTTCTCGCGGCAAGGCAGGCGAGAAGCACTCCTGGGTCCAGAACTCGGAGACCTCCGTCGGCTTTCGGCGTGGTAAGCAGCCCCCAGTTCCACAGCACAAACCCTTTCTCAGCCGATGCATTGTTCCCCGTTAAGAAATTGTGAATCCCCTCTGACGGGGGATAGACCTGCGCCTGATATGCTATTCTCGGTGTGATGTAGCAGTTGATAATCACAACCCTCGCCGCAATCGTGAGGAAGAGCGCCTTCCACTTAATCAACTCCACTATTATTTTTTCAAAAGCCCGCTTCCAGGTCGGCTCACTGCTTCCAGAGGGGGTGACCCAGACTCCCAGGACTCTCTCCGCTTCGTCCGCCTTGGCCCATTTAAAGCCGCCCAGCGTCCCTAGTCTCCTCCCAATGTTGTGGCCGATCGGGAGGATCACCGATTTGCCCTTGTTCGTCTGCAGCCCTGACAGTCCAGCAAACCAGGCTAACAGCTTCTCAGCCCTGGAGATTTGTCTTTTCCCATCCAAAAAGAGTGTCGTGTCGTCCGCGTAACCGACATACGCTAACCGTTGGTTTGCCTTGTTGCAGAGACCAATCTTCCGACGCTCTGCCTCTTGCGCCAGCGGTTCCACCGCGCAGAGAAACAGGTACGGAGCAAGTGGGCAGCCCTGTCTCACCCCCGACTTAACATCCACTGCTTCCCCCAACCAACTGTTGATTAATAACCTTGTTCTTGTGTCTTTGTGCAGACCTTCCACCCAGCCGACGAATCTCTCTGGGAAGCCCATTTCCTTGAGGGTGCTGAAAAGGAAGCTTCTAGACACCGAGTCGAAGGCCTTGCGGAAATCTACCAGCAGCATGTACCAGTCTTCATTCCCCTTTTTCGCCGCCTCAATAACATCAGCAACCACACCGATGGCCTCCGAGATTCTCCTGCCGGGAATAAAGCCGTACTGCTCCGCCGAGATCACCTTGTGCAGGTGCATCTTCATTCGGTTCGCCACCACCCGCGCCAGCACCTTGTACGTGAAGTTCAGAAGTGTGATCGGACGATAGTTGTCCAGATTGTCCTTCTCTCCCTTTTTATGGAGCAGAATAGTAATCGCTTCTTTGATGCTTGCAGGAATGGTTGCTGAAACCGAGAAGGATTGCGCCATGCGGAGGAACTCCTTGCCGAGGACATCCCATTGTCTTTCAAATAGCTCTTTCGGGAGCCCATCCTTCCCGGGTGATTTGCCGTCTGCAAGCGCTTTGAAGGCCTGTTTAACCTCCTCTTCTGTCCAATCTGCTGCAAGCCCAGCCGCCGACTCTGCATCCAACTTTCTCCCAGCAAGCGGTTTCCACCGCTCTGTTGATGTCCGACCGTCAGTGCCGAAAAGGTCCGTGAAATACTGCGTCGCGGCCGTCAGAATCCCGGATGAGTCAGAAATCTTGACGCCTCCCACCTCCAGCTCTGCAATCTGTGTCTTCTGCTTCCTGACCTTGACTCTCGCCGATAGGAAAGGCGAAGGGACCTCCCCAGCTAACTCCGCATCCGTCCCTGTCATCACGTGAAGTCTGTCCCGTTTTGATGCATGGTACTCTCTCAGCTGCGCGTCCGTTTTGATAGGGCTTGTATTATGGTCTGATGCAGCCTTCAGAGTAGCGAAGAGACCTGGCGCGTGCAAATGTGGATTTGGTTATTCAGAAAATTTGACATTGTAGCCCTATTTAGGCTTGTTCATGAACTGTTTCTTCGTGCAGATGGTATACTAAGCCTGATAGCATTACTAACTCTGAGGTATGGTATTATACATTTTTTACTGTTTTTCATTCAGAGTACACTCTGTGGATAATGACAAATATTTTGTTAACTATCGTACCGATTTTTTATTATTAGAAAACATTCTGTTGAGATTCAGGTTTTGCAATAACAGACTTTTTTGCTATTAAATCCAAATTAATAGTGTATCTAATCACATTACATATCACAACTATTGCCCTGCAGTACACTTCTATTACGTGAAATTACTGCAATATTTATCAAATCGATATTATCACAAACAGTCCGCAATCTATATCGTCATCGAAAAACAACTTCAACATCTTTAGTCTATCATGATTATCAAATGAAACCTGTCTGTTGACAGCCAATCCGAAAAGCACACGCGTAATCATGTCAGATGGTGTTTTGGTAGGCGGGAAAACTTCGCGCCAAATCTCGACGTGCGAGCCCCTGGCGTAAACAAATCAGAAGCATTGCCGAGCCTATCCCAAGTTACCTTGATTGGTTCCCACATTTTGGGGAAGCGATGCCTGCGACCTTGAGTCAGTCGCGTGCAAAAAAGCCTGTTGACCAGTATGTTGCTTGTTACTTGTTTCGAAGTAGGACGCGTCACAATTGCGACATCGATCCTGCGGGAGATCGATGTTCCGAGTATACACTAATTCGCTGTGTCTTGTATCCCGTTTTCGTGAGAGTTCGCTAAGACCCGTCACAAGTCACCGAACGCGATGTCCCTCCCAGATCGATCTGTTACCGCACTCAAATCCTACGTAATGCATTCAAAACTTTAGAAAAGGCTTCCAACCCCGCTAACTATCGAACCTGAAGACAATCGCGACACATCTGACTCAGAGGAGATCGATTCTCGCAGATTCGGTGTGTGACCGCGATCCTCCTCGATGTCGCAGTTGTAACGCGTCCTTAGTTTTGGGCCCTGGAAAAGTAACTTTCGGGACCCATCAATTTTCGGATGGGGAGGAAGAATGGTGAAGGTTTGACTAGGGGAGAAGAATTGGTTTGACAAGGAAGAATTTGGGTTAGGTTCATGGCTTGTTCGACAAGTTTCTGTTTTTCGGACTTTGGGAGTGTTCGACGAAGCAGGGTCGGTTGCGTGTGCGACTCGACGTGACACTTGGAGTGTGGGACAAGTTTGGTTGCTAGGAGTTTGCTTGTGACATGTTTTGGTTTGGGGTGCTTGTGTGTTTCGGGTTAGTATAAATGTGTGTGCTAGTCATTTGAAATACAATCGTGACAATTTCCTTGCATGTTGGAGTGCGTTCTATATTTGTTGTTGGCACATTTGTGATTCATTCGCGAAGGGTTAGTGGAGCCCTGGTCAAGGCCTCGCGAGTCACTAGTGATTGAGTATTTTTGCGCGGAGACCTCGCCAGACGCTAGTGAAGGAATCGCGAACCGAATTCCTTTGCAGAGCGCCAGTGAAGCGCCAGTCAAGCGTTGGTGAAACAGAAAACAGTAAAACGTTAGTGAAACGTTGTCAGAATTAAACGCTGCGCATATCGTTGGAATCGCGAGAACGAGGAGAACATCATCAACAATAGCAAGCAGACTTTTGTTGACTGAGGCATCTACGATCCTGACATGGCGAAGGAACGAGTTCTATGAGTGGAAGACAAATGGAACTTCATACAGCAAATGTCTGGTGGACTAGGTTTTCTACCTACTGCTAGTAGTAAGCTGCTGACTGCGTCGCCAGTGTGGCTCGAGGATGGCCAAAGTACTTACTGAGGCTGCTACAACTAGTTGTTGTAAGGCTGGTTGAACACGCCTTTGAAAAGAATCACCGAGTGACGGCGGAGGGGCGAACAAAGGTCGAGGTGAGGAAGGCCAGCGGAGACTCTTCGAAAAACCCCAGGAGGGCAGGGCGAGGGCAATAGGACAGCCACAACTTGTGGACGTGGGCGCCTATCTATCCATGTGTGCGGATGAGCGCAGTTGGGTGGGATCCTTGGCAACTTCTGACGTGGTAACTCAGGCACACGATTAGCCGCGTGCGGCGGCTGGAACGGATGGGCCGCCGGTCGTGGAACGCGGTCTGAAATTTTGTGACTGATTAAACGGGACAAGTCATTTCCAAGTGAACACATCCAATTGGATTATGGAACGGAAGGGGACAAAACTTGAAGCGGGCGGGGAGTCGAGGAAGGGCGATGATGCTGGGCTGTATGTGGCTGTCCTAGCGCAGGTCCAGCGATTCATGAGCTGTTCTATGACAAAAAGTCGGCAGGCCGACTAATAGAGATTCATGCCAGCTGTTGTTTCTGCGGAATGATTCGCACCACGTTATTGCGTGGACTGCAGCTGTCTTATAACAGATGACCTCGGCACAACTTCCTGGTTAGAAAAATAACGTGGGACTCTCTTATTGGAAGACAATGTTTCTTGGGGCTGATTTGGATCAGAACAGCACAAACGTGGGGTTGACAGCACAGTTGTGATTCTCTCTCATCTGAAGTGAGCCACGTGTTTCAACCGTAGCTAGCGTTTCATCGCCACCCATCATACCCACCCAGTAAATATAATTGGTAATGAACAGTACATCTCCACGATTGTTGCCCCGCAATCACCAGTATGCACATCTGAAAATACCATAACCACCTTAAATAATCAAAACAGGTGTGAAGTCATTGTCGTTTCCATATAATATCACAACATTTCAACCCAACTGTTATGAATGAACTTGCAGAGTGCGCAGAATAGCAAATAGTGAGACGCGGTCCGAAAAGGAGCGGCTGTGGTCAAACGGGACGAGACATTTCACAAGGTGAGCAAGGGCACCGAACGATGATGCTACCAGCACGTTTTGATGTCACAACTCTTGCGCAGGTCTATCAGTGTAGGGGTCTCCTGATGACTTGCTCTGATTCGTCGTTCTGTGGGTCTTAGGGAGTCCTACCACGTTGGCGCCGTTCTGAACACTCATGTCCAAATAGATGAGTCGCAACACTATAACCGATTCGGCCCTAGGGTTTCCGAACCTGGGGTCATTACTTGACGACGTGCAACCTAGAGAAACTGTATTGACAGCTGTAGAATCTTCCGCAATTTTACTCAACAAACAGCGTTGACACCTAATAAAGCAAGCCGAATCAAATGCTAGTTGAAACATACAAAAGTACCGAATATAAAGTTGGCCTCATATATCAGGCTTTGCGCTTTAGCGTCAGATATGTAAGGAATTTCCCTAATTCCTTACTGAGGCACTCCGTACGCGTACAATTCCAACTTTTTGAAGGTCTGGCTCGATCCGCCGACCTCGCCTTCCGAACGTCCTTCGCGTCGCCTTCGGGTTTTCCAAACCCAAACCTGCACCCAACCTTCGCGCGACTCCTCTAGCTTTGCTATATTATGCCTAGGCCTCGTTGTTTGCTAAGTAGTTGTAATCACTTTCGCGATATTGCATTCTGCGCACTCTTCTTTCGTACAACTCATAACACTTGGTATCAAAGCTACTTTCCTATGTTACCCTCCACTTTTCGGGTAGCTTAGTGCAGGGGTGCGATAGACTTGTGTGAAAGTCTAGACAGGAATGAAATGACTAAGTCAAAGTTGGGTACAAAAAACAACCCTAGAAAGCTGTACCCCATATGTGCTACCCCACTATAGCCTACAGCAACTATGTCATATAAATCTGACACACCCCCATAGGCAAAGTGGGGGAGAACAAGGGGTCACAAGACCAGTCAAGAAAAGCAAAGCAAAGCAAGCTCAGGGTGGATCTCAACGTCACCACACATTCCGAGCACAAGTTCAAGGCCACAAGGCCAGTTCACATGCAGCAGAGCATATATATAATAGTGCTAAACAAACAAGAGCAGGCATATATATATGCAACAGTACAAGCAAGGTCAAGAGGTAAGCAAGTGAGGCCCAATAGGCACAAGACCTAGAAGAGTGCAAAAGCGCTGATGGTCACAAGGCGGAAGCGCCTTGGTGAACACATCAGCAGTTTTGGCCTCAGTGGCCACGCGACGCAGATGATGCTGACCACGCTGCTGCAGCTCTTGAGCAAGAAAGTAGCGCAGAGCAATGTGCTTCGTCCTGTGCTCCAGTCTGTGCTCCTCACACAAGGCAATGGCTGCCTTGTTGTCGACGTACAGCACTGGAGGAGAACGAGGCCGCTCTCCAAGGTCAGTCAGCAGGTAGGTGAGACAGCGAAGCTCCTGGGCAGCCATGGCCGTGGCGTAGATCTCAGCCTCACAGCTGGAGCTGAGAACAGAAGAAGAGCGTGTAGAGCGCTAAGAGACAGAGCCCGAGCCAAGACTGAAGGTCTAACCCTGAGACGACCTCTGAGTAGCCTGGTTGTCTGCCCAAGAAGCGTCTGAGTGCCTAGAGAGAACACGCCGGTCTCGCCCTCCAAGCACTAGCCCCATGCCCGACGTACTGCACAAGTAGCGCAACACCCTCTTAGCGACATCCATGTGCTCCTTCCAGTGACGGCCGGGAGCAACATAGCGTGCAAGAATGCTGAGAGGGTATGCAAGGTCAGGTCGAGTGCAGGTCATCAGGTACATGAGGCAGCCCACAAGCTTTGGATACGGGCCACTCGGCTCTACAGACTCATCCGAAGGCCGAGCTGAGAGTGAGTGTCCCGTAGGCAGAGGAGTGGACTGAGGCGAGGAGTACGTGAAGCCAAAGCGCTGAAGGACCTGCTGCACCATGTGTGACTGAGTCAGGGTAATGGTGCGGCGTGCTCTGTCCCAAGTGATCCGCAAGCCAAGATAGCTTGTCAGTTCACCCAGGTCTGTGCACGTGTGTCACTTC